GTGTTTCACTGTGGGAATGGTGTTCTTTGGGTTAAACGGACAAATATATTAATAATAGTTTTAAATATGCAAAATAAAAGTGTAAAAAGAAATATAAAGCTTTTCCTTTATGCTCCCATGAGATGGTAAAAAAATAAGCCAAAAATAAGCATTTTATTTATTTTCCTTTACAAACAAATGAAAACTAAATTTCTTAGCGTCCACAAACTAACGGGCTAATAAGACAAACACTGAATTAACCACACATTTAACTTGACAGCAACAAGTTAGCTTATAATGTTAACACACACTTAGGTTAGCGAGTTAATACACAACTAATCGGGTTAAATAGGCTAGTGGCTGAAAGGAAAGTGTTAACTGACTACTTTTTCTCTATCAAAAACATGATTCAACACTTTACATAACCCTGTTTAAGTGAAGCACATCCATGTTTATAATGCTTACTTACCAAAAATGCAGAACCATACGGCACTGATGGAGCTTCTCAAGAGTGAAAAAAAGTCCTGCCTCCAGAACAAAGAGCGCTATGTGTCTGCACATGTGCAAAAAGGAAAGAATGAGGAAATTAAAATGTGTTAAACATTTTTCTAATTGTTTTTAAGTAGGATTCAATAACATATTAAAGTCAATTAAATAAGCCAGATTAAAACATGTTACATTTACAAGGGGTCAGATATATTATTTTATATATTTTTTCAGTGTACCAAACTTGTTAAAGCTAAACACAAAGTAAGTAATTAAGTGCATGAAAATGGATGGTCATGCTAGAATATCTGGTTGATGACTCTTTGCTGCTCTGCTTATTTGAACCAGGCAAGATTGCTCAGCCAGTAGCAACAATTATTTTAATACACCTTGCACTGTGTTATTGGACACAATTATTTTGATTTGCTGATAGACCGACATTGCCATCCCAAGGGCCACACTAGCACTATAGATTTAGAGCTTTAGGCTGTAAAAACAAAGATCAGTAAAGACTTTAAAAAAAAATTTCACTCGCTCTCATATACATTATGTGTTCTCTGTAGAGTCATTGCTACATAAATGTAGGCAAAGCTGAATGTATTGGTTTTGGAACAAAGCATAAATTCAAACTTTTTTTTTTTTTTCAAACATTATTTATCCTGGATGTGAACTGGAACAGTGTCCAGTGAGTCTATGGCCCTCTCTGTTGCTGGAAAAGAATAATGGGAAATTAAATCTGTTCATTCTTTTTTATGACTAGTGCCTGAACTTGTGAAGCTTTCATAGTTTTCATGATTGTATAATTATGATGTTTTTATTAGGCATATTAGTATAAAAATAGGACATTAGTAGCATTAACATGTCACTCCCTTTTCCTGCGGGCCTCTTAGCCTAGACTTCAGGACTGCAATGGAAATAAGTCATGAAACTTAATTATTATATTTTTATTATATATTTATTATTTATTAGATATTGTGATATCTTGATGAAATTTAGAAGGCCTACTTTATGCACATCTGTGTATTGTATTTTAATTTATAGAAACTAATCAATCAGTGTTCAAAAGCATACACCCTATTCAGCAGATTCTGATGATTTGGAGTTTGCCGTACTGACTTTCGTTGATACATAATATTGGTAGAACATGCAAAATATAGTATAGTATAGTATATAATATAGTTTGCATGGTTTTCTTTTTCTGTGTTCCTCATTTGCTTCTAACACTGTTGTGTCTACACTGTAACTCATCAAACAACCACAAAAACTGAAGGAGCTGGCCTCACCAGTGATTCTTTTTCTTTTTTCTCCTCTATAAAGCCTCCTCCATATCAACAGGATGGCCCTTCTCAACTACCCTGTTCCAGAGTTGGATGTTACCTTGCAAGAAGTGAGCCGTGTCCTGCAGCTCACTTTAAGCCCTGACCTTTATCCTGAGTTCAAAAGTACGCTGGAACAGCAGAGGGAGCTCCTTCAAGAGGCCCAGCAAAAATTAGCAACCATTGCTGCAGGCCAAGAGAACTGGGTGACGGAGCAATTCAAGAGAGGTCTGCTTTCTTGTGTTGACCCTCTGCCCACCTCCACAGCCCTCCCTGTTGTTCTTCTTCCTTCCCAAGCAAAAGGATGTACCCAGTTGGGGAGGGCAGCCGCTCTACTCTGGGCAGCAGCAAAGCTGCACAGTGAGCCCTTGTTACTGGAGGGCAATGTGGCAATGGAGCGCACACAGCAGTCTGAGGTATTCGCTGCCAGCCGGATTCCTGGCAGGGATCAAGATGAGATTAAGGTGAGATTACTGGCCGATCACAACTTCAGTGAAAATTTTAAATTTTACACTGTTGGGTGTGGTTACAGGTGCAACAGGCTTGAAACTTGCAAACAGAGATGGCAGTTGAAACTGTTTTTAGCTTGATGTTAATCGACTCATTAAATATTATAAGCAATTTCTAAATCTATAGCTTTGTCATTTTATTTCCAGGTCTACCCAGATAGCCTCCATGCCATCATCACCTGTGTTGGAGGAGTGTTCCCTGTTGACATACTGTGGCGTCCCAGCACTGGTGGGCCAGTTTCTGCTCGATCATTCAATGACATCTATAAACAGCTGGCTCAGGTGATGGATCAACCCAGAGCAGGAAAACAGAATGATCCCTCTGCCATTTGCAGCCTCTCAGCTCTGGAGCGCAAAACCTGGGCTGCCACCAGGGAAGAAATTCTGGGGCAAGGAGGGGATTCAGCAGCATCACTGGGGCTGATGGAGAGTGCCGTGCTGACACTGTGTCTGGAGGAGTGCAACGCACCCTCTGAACTGGCCGATATTCTCAATGCAGTGAGATTGGGAGGAGGAGGAGACAGTCCATGTCTGAGATACTATGACAAGGTATTGGATAGAATCTGGATAAGAAATCTGAATAGATATCGCATGTGTCCACACTGCTTTTCCATGTTACATATACATGTCAAATCAGCCAAACCATACAATTGGCTGACACAAACTCATCAAAACCTAATTAATACCACTAAAATTGGAAAGCAATTGAGAAATGCATTGGTATTAAAATATGCAATAGGAAATATAAAATTAGCTCAGTTTATTTGCAGAAACACTCAGAAAGTGATTATTATAATTTTATTTGAACATTTCTGTTCTTTTCAAATACTTCAGAGCAGCTCAAAACAAATAAAAAACACCCTCAAAATGGAAGAAGAGTCGCCACAACAGTCAGTTAAGACATCAAATGTCAAAGCAGGACATAAACAAGCTGAGCTAATAACATTTTTCAATTTACATATAAACGTGTAAATACGCAGGGATTCAACTGATCATTAACAAATGCTTGCTTTTTTCACAGGTGGTGAACCTGGTGGTGTTCAAGGACAGCACAGCTGGGATGATGTTTGAACACAGTGCTGTGGATGGGATGGTGGCTGGACTTGTGACTGCAAGTGTTTACAATATGTCTGAGACTGCTGACCTAAATCTAGTCCATACTGACACAAACACAAATCAGTCTTTCCCATTGAACAATGCTAATGTTGATGCTGTTTTCCCAACCTCCCTAACATTCTCCTTGCAAGGTGTAAATACCCCCAAAGTAAGCACTTCCTTACAAGCAGCACACCCAGTTCTCACTTTTGATGTGCCCTCCTATCCTGATGTCTTTTCTACTCTGAGAGGGCAGAGAGGCCTGTATGATGCTTGGATCAATTTCTCTTTGCAGCTTTCCCTAAAGCAGACTCTTGGGGAATCTGCTGCCAATCACATACTTGTTACACCTACCCATATGCGCCACTACAAACATGGCCGTTGTGATCCTACGTACTCACTCACCATGCATTCTCACAAGTTGGTAGGTGCCTTGGCATCATGTATTGGCCCAGATAACACAATCCAATACACTACTGACCTCCTACACTTGTTCCATGTTGCATTTCTGGAACATAAGAGCATCATCAAAAACACCAAAAAAGGTCAAGGAGTCGGCCCCCATATAGCCACCTTGCGTCAATCATTGCCATCTGACAACCCACTGAAGAAGTACCTGGACCCGTTTGGGTGTCCATCTGTATACCTCACAGGTACAGATCTGATGGAGGGTGTGGAGTGTGGAGTAGGGAATGTTTATGCCCAAGATCAGCTTGCTGTAACCTACCTTGGGAAGAGAGACAAGATTCGCATTGTGCTTAATGGGAAAGGGAGCTTTGCTCTGGTCCTGGAGAAGCTTCAAGAAAACCTGAAGAAAAACCTGAAGCTAGTGATGCTTCTAGCTGTTAGATATGCTATTGCATACCAAATGGGAGCCCTGGAGTGTATACTCCAAAAGGGTCAAACAGAGAAAATGAATGGAGAGACATATCACTGTCCAGAGAACCTAAACAAAACCACTGCTGACGCCACTTCTGGCATGAGCCCAGACTATAATCTGGTGATCCATGGTGGTGCAGGGGAGGTGATGATGCTGAACACCGAAGTGATCGGAGTTATTGAGTTTTCTCTACAGACAGCCTTAACCCTTGGAACCCAAGTGCTTCAACAAGGGGGCAGGAGTCTGGATGCAGTTCAGAGGTCAGTGGAAGCTCTGGAGGACTGCTTTCTATTCAATGCAGGTAAAGGCTCAGTATTCAACAAAGATGCCAAAAATGAAATGGAAGCAACCATCGTAGATGGCAATGCAAAAGGCTCAGGATCTGTTGCTTGTGTGCAGAGTGTGAAGAACCCAATAAAAGCAGCCAGGTGTGTCCTTGAGAAAAGCTCACATTCACTAATTGTGGGAGATGGGGCTGAGGAGTTTCTGCAGGGGTTGGAGGAGAAAGAGAAGCCTGTTGGGCCTGAGTATTTCTACACTGATATACGTCACAAAGAGTTAACTGCAAAGCTTAGTGGTGGTAATACCTCAAAAAACAATCACCCTCAGACAGTTGGAGCTGTGGCCTTGGATCGTTGGCATGGGTTGGCTGCTGCATCCTCCACCGGTGGGTTAGTAGGAAAGCTGAAAGGGCGAGTTGGGGATACAGCAGTAGTAGGTGCAGGAATATATGCTGATGACCAGGTAGCTATTACCTGCTCTGGAGATGGAGATGTATTTCTGAGACACACAGTTGCACAAAAAATAGCCAGTCTCTACCATCACAAAGGCTATAGCCTTAGGCAGGCATGTAGAGAAGTGATGGCTGAAAATCTGAATGGGATCTGTGCAGGAATCATTGCAGTGGACGCTAAAGGTGATGCTATCATTGAAACAAATGCTAGTGTGATGTTTGTGGCCTCAATGGTAAATGGCATTTCACGAGTTGAAGTCCTGAGGCCCCTGAAGAACTTCTCTGATGTGATCTGGGAAACAGATGAGCTGGTTGCCTACCTTGATCCCAACCCCTGGATCCCTGGGTCAACCATTCTGACTAGAAAAACTCTTAGTGGGGCAAGTAGCATCTTTCAGTTGGCTACACCTGATTTTGTGGCTATGCTAAAAGGAGCAAGAGCTGTGTCGAGCTTGCTTTGTGAGCGTCTGGGAGTGCAGCGCTGTGCCTTGGTTTTCAACCCAACCCCTGACCACCCAGCAAAAATCAGACTGCTCCCGCTTCATGGCCTAGAGCCAAAGTGGCAGCCCCATCTTGCCAATGAAGAAGAATTCCACACTCATGATCCTGGCTACTGCTTCCTCCAAAAAGGGCCCACGCTGGAAGGATGAGGCACTGACCCAGGTTCAACCAAGATTTAGAAACCGTCTGACAGCACCAAATGTATCCACCATGCTTTGACTTTTTCGGAGACGCTTCCGATGATAACCTGTTCAGTCGCATTGTGCGTGGAGAGCAGCAACAATGGAGAGTATGGGAAGACAGTGAGCACGTTGCCTTTCTGACACCATACCCCAACACTCCTGGACTAACTGTTGTGGTGCCACGCAAACCACTGTCCAGTGACATCTTCAAACTAGAGGAAGCTGACTACAAAGCACTGATCTTAGCCACTCAAAAAGTGGCCAGACTACTGGAAGAGAGCATGAGAGCTCGAGGAGTTGCACTGATCTTTGAGGGCTTTGAGATTGACTATGCTCATGCCAAGTTGATCCCTCTGTTACCTTCACCAGATGGTACTAATCATGCTGAGCTGCAACCAGAATGCTTCCAAAGCTATCCTGGATATGTGTCATCACTGGATGGTCCAGCTGCTGACCCTGAGGCCCTCAAAACGATCCATACAAAAATTACCCAGTGCAGGCCTCCTCGTTCATGGGAAGACCCACAGTCTCACTCCACACTTGCCATCAAGAGCCAGTGGTATCGCAACCTGTTCCAGATTCAAAACACTCTTTTCCACAGTACAGTGGAATATTTCCACACTTCCTGCCAGTACTCCTATGCTCTAACCCCTCTCACCACAGACACCATCTCCTCACCAATGGGCCTAGGATCTGACTCAGAACCAGTTTCTGTTAATCTGCTGGGCCAAGACATCTACCTGGCTGACTCAATGCAATTTGTGCTTGAATACTTCCTTCGCTTCCAAGAGAACCTGCCAGGGACGTACTACATCTCTCCCAGCTTCAGAGGGGAAGATCCTGATGCCACACACTTGAACCAGTTCTACCATGTGGAGTGTGAACTGTTGGGTGACATGGACAAAGCCATGTCCATAGGCAAGAAGGGATACTTGCTCATCCTTGTACCAGCTATGTTGAAGAAAACACTCCCTGAATGCTGATCCCTCAAACCTGCAAGGGACCAATTACACATGTCACAGCCATGCTGAGTAAGTTGGATGGGAAGACCCCACTACCAAGAGTCCCTCTAGACAAGGCCATTCCCATGATGCCCTCTGCTGACTGCTTAGAGTGGGTCCAAGATGGCCAGCCCCAGTTTGGCAGAAAGCTTACACGCAAAGGAGAGCGGGTCTTGATAGAGAAATATGGTGGTGCTGTCTGGCTGACTGAGATGGATCATCTAGGAGTTCCTTTCTACCAGGCATATGTGGAGGGCACTGGGAGGTGTAAAGCCAAAGCTGCTGACCTTCTTCTGGGGCTGGGTGAGACTGTGGGTCTTGGTGAACGTCATTCCACCCCAGAGATGGTACAGGAGGCCCTGAGGCACCATGCAGTGCCAGAGCAGTCCTACAAATGGTACATTAACATGCGGCAAGTGAAACCACTCCTCACCAGTGGATGGGGCATGGGGACGGAGCGCTACTTGTGTTGGCTGCTTCAGCACCATGACATCAGAGATATACATATCATTCCTAGGATGAAAGGAATGAAGTACATGCCGTGATCATAAGTTCTCCACAAGTTTTCAAACGATTAGAAGAGGAAATATACAATATGGAATTAAATGAAAAATGCCTCCATAATCCAGACTTTGGGATTTTGATCCTCACCAATGATCTTTCTTGTTTTTTCCATGGCTTCTACCTGACCTTCGTGTCCTTAAAATTAAAATATTTCTGTATATTGAGCGTTTAAACATTGCAACACAAAGCAGAGACATCATCGTAGAAAAGACACAATTAAATAATTATAGAATAAGTTAAAAATTATGCTACAGGAAGTAAATCATTAATTGTTCTTTAAATGTTAACACTAAGACTTTGTTTTCTTTCTCATAAGTAAAGCTACATTACAATGTCCCTGCAAACTGAGAATACATAAATAGTGTATGTAGAACTTGAACTGTTTCCATATCCTTGATTCTTGGTGTAAGACTTATTAACAGTGTTGACAAAATAATTAGTTAAGGGTATAAATTGTATGAATAAGTTGTTCAGACTATGTTAGGGCAACATAAAGGAACACATATGTTCTTGTTGTATTATCATTTATGCAAACAAATGTGTTAGTGTTCTTAATATGTTTTGTTTTTCATTTTTTTTATGTTTTGTCATATTGTCTTTGTATGTAAAAGATTTTTGTGAAAGTCATACGAATCATGTATCATTGCTCTTTTCAATGAAGTAATGCCTTTTAAAATAGATATCAGGCACTATCTGGATATTTTACTTACAGTGTCAATGGTAACTTCTCCCAGGAGCCTTTGAACAAGGTGGTATCAGCATTAGTGTGCCCTGTGCCCCCTGCAGGGACAAATATCACAAAGCTAAAATGTTTGTTTAAATATAGTGTTTTAATTTTAGTTAATGATCGCACAGTATGAGATTGGTAACGCTATTAATCATGCTACCTTTCTACTAGATTTCAAAGACAACAAACTCATTTTACAGTGCATATCAATTATATAAAGAGTAACTTAACACCCCCTGAAAATCCTGTTTTTGCTAACCTTCACTGGTTTAACCTCCCACCTTGCTCTACAGAGGTACAGGTGTACTCACTGATGACCCAATGACATCCCTGCTGGGTGTAGTTACAGCATACTCTGACCACACAGCAGTGATATTGGTGTGGTAAGAGTTGAAACAGGCTTGAAATTTTCAATGAAAGAGGGCAAAAACACTGCTTTTTAGGCTGATGTTAATTCAGCTACAAGGAACTTTAATTTTTTGTTGATTCTCACGGCCCCTGTGGGTCTGTAATTAATCAATGTCAGTCTACTGGTTAGGGTTCAACACCTCATTAGTTTGTCTCTCTGCTAAGTAATGAGCTGAAAGTTGCTGAACTGCAAAGTACTATCAACTCTCACATTACAGGGTGTCAGTCGGTTTAATATTCAGATCATACATTTTCCACATAATTATAATGTTCAGGGCCACATTTTTCCAGTGATTAAGAATGCCACACACTGATTTGTTCACACAATTGTAAATCCATGTACAAACACACTAAAAAACAGAAAAAACCAATACACAACTGATTCACTGTTTTAATAAATGCAATGTATATATGAAGGGTTAGACATATTATTATAAACTTTTAATATAACTATTGATATTTAACCAAAAATGATCACTGATCTACAGAAAATGGTTTAGCAGCATTTGTTCACCTTAAACCTCATGAAGAAATGAAGACATCGCCCTCCCCAAACACATCACCGCAAGTTAACCTTGCAAAGACCTCTATTATACTTGAAAATAAACTTTTGCATAAGGTTAGCTCAAACTGTTCTATCAAGTATATCAAGACAATGTGTATACACAGTACGTGCACAGATTTGAGGTTCTTCGGCTGATTTGCATGTGGCCATTTGACATGAAATGAATGCCAAAGGGGCTGACACTAAGTTGATTTCCTATGATGACTATCCACTCAAATGCAGTATGCTGTCAGGAAGTATTTAAACAGGTGTATCAGACAATTTCAGCGTAAATAACGTTTGATTGACTATTAACACAATTGTGGTGTGCACAATTATACCACACACCTTTTGCTCATCAAACCATTTGGCAGTGGTGGAGTTCAAGCAGAAACTACCTAATGTGACAGAAACACATATAAAAATGTTTTTAAAAACATACAGATTGTAATCTGTTGTAAAGATATTTTCCAATAGGAGTAGGAGAAGGATGTGAATAATAAATAATATGTGGAGAGAAGTAATTTCTTATCTTTGGCTAACTCTATTTGAAATATCAACCAGAAATCACTTGCATAAACTATTATTACCATGCAACATTGCATACAGATTACCTTAACTCTAACATGATGAAAGTAAATAAAGATAGATAGATAAAGACACACACACACACACATGTAAAATCAATCAGATTTTGGAAAGGGACAATGATTATAAAAAAAAAAGTATGAAAATGTTATTATAAAACTAATGAGCGTTTTCAAATGTAATGTAACAAAATGATAATAACCCGGATGTAGTGTGTGCGTAGTAGCCTATTAGTTTCCGGTTGTCACTGTCGTATCTGACCCCCGGCTGGAGCAGAGCCCTGTCTCTGTCTGAACACTAAATCTGTGGTCTAATTTCTGAAACGTAAGTAGGCTTTCGTTTCTTTTCTGTGTGTACTTGTGTTTCTTGTTGCCACTCTGTCCTCCGCGCCGTCTTTTACGAGCCTGTCTTGTTTTTAAAGCCGGTTCAAGGTAAGGTCAGCGCTTTCCTAGCTCAACAGCGTGTAACGCTAACAAGCTAGTCAAGAGATGTTTGACTTTCCACTGAGCCAGCCATTTTCTAAAGACAAATGAGCCTCGCTCGGCCACACTGCCAGTATTTTACTACTCGCTAGAGGCAATGTGTCACATAGCTGTCGATGGAAATCAGGGAGTCAATGAGCCACGGTGTTTAGCCAGCCTCAGTGGTCTCATTTGCATGGCTGCTAACGGTGGCTAGCGGTACCGTTACTGTGAACCATTGGTGTTACACAACAACCAGAATATAAACTGGAAGAGGAAAAGGATTCACCAAGGAGGCCTGTTTTTTAAACGTAACTTTAATCTTCAAAGCGGTGGACAGATTGAGCAACATATCTGTAGTATTGGCCATGGATGAGCTGGTGGATGACGTTAGCTTTTTGACTCCTGAAACTGCTGTTTATTATTCAGAGCAGAGTAATCAATCAATCAATCAATCAATCAATCAATCAATCAGTCAAAGAGGGAAAGTCTCTTGCATGGTTTCTAAATGTAATTCACAAACTGTTTTACAGGAGCAAACTCTTGTTTTCTCTCTCCACTCATACTCTCACTGCAGGGAGCCATACCTCACCCACAGACTGCTGATAATTAACCTGCTTCACATGGCTGACACGGATAAAATAACTGATAATTTCACATTTTTGTGTTCATAACCTGTGGTATTTACACACCTGATGGTAAGAAAGTTGAACGTGTTGAGCAAAGATGGAGGATTTGATATCTCTGACTGAACCAAATTCAACTGGCATCACTATTGTTAACACAACAAAAGTAAACAACACTTCTGACTCTTCAAATCCCCTTTCTAGTAAAGAACATTAAAAAAAACGAAACAAACATAAATTGGCGTTCGTGAAGCATACAGCCTATCAATTATTTTGCATAAGAATATAAATCATTATTATTATTATTATTATTATTATTATTTTTATATTTTTTTTTATTATTATGGACCCATTATCAGCTGGTAATTGATCTGCCCCGTCCCTCCCTAACTATTTGCCCTCTTACCAGTTACACCCACTAATGACCATGCATCCAAGATACATTTTTGGCCCACATGACCATTGTAATATTTTAAATATTGTTTCTGTGTCACCATATTTGCTCATTTCCCACCACATTTTCACATCCCTTCATCCCTTCCCTTTTCCCAGGCGCCAGGGTGTCCCCCCTCTCCATGTGTTGTCCCTAATGGGCGGCTGGTCTCGCAGTGCCGTGCTGGAGCTGTACCGGGCGCTGCTCCGAGCAGGGCGTCAACTTCAGTACACTGACCGTAACTACTATCAGCGCGCCGTGGCTCGCGAGTTTCGCCGCTGCCAAGCACTGACGATACCCGAGGATAAGGAGGACGCGCTGAAGAGGGGCCAGTTCTTCCTCAGCAGCCGATTGGGTGGGCTTATGTAGGGGGAAGGGTTCACAGGCCTTCTGGAGGTGGGTTAAAGGTCGTCTGGAGGTGTAGCTCCCAGGTGGGTTTACAAATAAAAGAAGGCTGAGTGCATCAGCAGTGAAAACTTTTCGATCGGAGACTATCTTTGTGGGGATGTGGACAGTTCTGTTTAGTAGGAAAGGGCAAAGATCACACCTCACAAGTAAGGCCATGTTGGGTGTAGTTGATTTACCCTCTGTAGGTACATTACTCAATTAGTGCTGAGAGAGGTGTCTCAGTTGCGTCTGTAATATTGTTATACTTGAGAATCTGGTGAGCTAAGCAGCAGAGCAAAGAAAGTACTTTTTTCTGTCCCCATCCTCTGGCTTTCTTCATCTCCTCTGTTTTCGTTGGCAGGATGGCGGGGATGAATGGAGACCGTAAAGGGAAGAAGGATGACAATGGGATTGGTACAGCCATTGACTTCATGCTTTCCAATGCCAAGCTTGTGTTGGGAGTGGGAGGAGCAGCCATGCTTGGCATTGCAACACTGGCTGTCAAAAGAGTAAGTGAGATGGGATTTATCTCCCAACTTCCACTCCTTTTGTACAATAAAGAAGAAACGAATCAAAAAGCTCTTAAGCATCGATACCAATGTGAACAATTCTTTGTTGTGTAGATGTATGACCGTGCCATAAGTGCTCCCACCAGCCCCACAAAGATGGAGCAGACAGGAAAGAGGAGCTGGGAGGAGCCCGCCTGGATGGGTTCGTCACCACGGGTACTGAACCATGACATGAAGTCCACCGTTAGCAGGTCACTGCAGTCTCTGCCCACTTCCTCACATACTTATGAACCAGGTGAGAAAAACAAAGTGCCCTTTTGACAGTTTAGTTACACTTCATGTCGTATTACGCCATATTGACCAGCCGAGTTTAAGCCAGCTTCCATTTTGTCTGTTGACAGACAGCCTATTTGGAGGAATCTTGCTCTTCCTTTACAGTGGGTGTTTGCTCTCTGTAGTGCTGTAGTTAGTCAGCCAGCTGTTTTTACATTAGTTTATGTTAAACTATTATATATTTGATTTTATTTTTTTATATAAGATTTAGTTGAACTATAATGTTATAAATGCTCAGATGCAGTAGAAGTCTATTAATTTAGTATTTAGTAGATTATGGTTTTTTAGTTTGCAGATCTTAATATTTAGAAAACACACCCATACCTCTTCCATCTTTCCCAACTTTACTGCCTCCCCATCCAAACTAACTATCTGAAATGGTGGAAGAGGTATGCATGTATGCAGCAGTATTTAACACAAATGCATATTTTCACTTTCACTTTCTAATCTCCTCAGACTGTCTGCGGAGAGCTATGGGTCGAGCTGCTGTGGGGGGCAGTGGCGCCACTGAGTCAGACATGATGCGGGCCCGAATGCGTCTGTCCCTGCAGGAACATCTGTGGGAGTTCTACCAGTACAATGTGAACATCCCTGCCGAGGAGCAGGCTGTGGCTAGGAGGGCAGCGCTGGACATCTGTGCTGAGCTCAGAGTGTTCCTTCACGCCAAACTGCCCGACATGCCGCTCAGAGAGATGTACCTGAGTGGCAGTCTCTATGATGACCTGCAGGCAAGAACATTTGGTCCTACTTTTAGACAAGGGACTTTTGATTTGACTTTATACATACATCAACATATTGATTAG